CCCCTCCCTTTTGGTCACATGATCCAGAATGCAATTCTGAATGCACACACATAAGGAGAAAGAGAAGCACATACACAATTCTATACATCATTACACAGAAGAGGGGAGAAAAAAACCCAGATACAAAAAAAAAAACCAGATAGAAAAAAAACAACCCAGAAGCAATATACTGAATGTGTTTGCTGCATTGTTTATGCTCTTAGGATCTACAGGCCCGGCCATGTCTTTTCACAGAAGTTGTATGGTTAATGATCAATTTCAATCTAAAAAGATCGATACAATTTAATGTGAGAGGACCAACTTGTTCGTGGAATGTTGGCATCAGATCCCATTAAAATAATAAAAGCAGAAGGTGAGAGTGGCGCTGCAGATATTCTCCACCATGAAGATTATAGGAACAAGATCATAAGTCCTGTAGTTTTCTTGGCAAGTTTTCTTGGATGGCCATTTCTTGCTTCATAGGGTTGAGAGAGAGGGACTGGTTCAAAGGCCTCCAGCTGGCTTTGTGCCTTAAGTACAATGAATTTGTAGTCTTTGGCTTCCTCACCTAACGCTTTAACCACCTCACTAAACTGGCTCTCAAGGTTATTTCTCAGTTAAAAGATAATACCTCAAAACAGAGTTTTTGGAGAAGAATACCTTGCAAGACATTGCATTAGTAGAAGACAGTTCCTTTTCAAAATCCAGTGTGAGATTTTGCTTGTCCCTTTGTTTTTACCAAGGAACCATACAAATATTTACCCCTCCCTCCCCCACTTTGGTATCCTATTATCTCAGAGGACAACTCTCTTCTGGAGGTTTTAACTCTACGTGTAGGGTTTTTTTTAAAGACTTTCCCCCCATTCCCTTCTTTCATAGAACTTTGTACATTTCATTCATAAAATCCAATCTTTCATTCCAATCATATGATATATATGCTCCTTCTATCGTAGTCGAAGGAAGTGATCCTTCATACCATGAATAATTGAGAGGAGAAAGAGTCTGTGTGTTTTGCCATCTTTAGCAGAAATAGTATTTTTCAGGAATTATTTTTGTTTTGAAAAGAACTATTATTGGCAAATCAGCTGCACCATAGCCTCTGAAGCGGCTCAGGAATAATTTACTATTAGGACAGTTTCTAAGAGACCAATCCAAGTGCTCTTTAAAAGCAGAATTGTTACTGAATTCAGGAGTGTTAAAATAAGTCAGCAGTGCTAAAGCAAGAATTATTAAGTGGAGGCTATCCAATTTCATTGGAGGATGCCAATTTTGAAAAAGCAAACAGGTGATCCTGTGAAGAACTTGCAACCTGGGTACAAAAATGGAGACTTGGGTATAACACAATTGTACAGTGAATGCATTGCAGTTCATGTTTTTGGAACTGTTCAAAAATATACCTCAATGTGGTAAAGTCTCCTGTTTTGCAATAGATGTACCAAGAATCTGAAGGATGAATTTATTAGAAATGATTTAGTTGCAAGTAATGTTCCATAATAAACTGAATTATCATAGGATCTTCCCACCCATGTGGTTATTATACTTATTTTAAGTATATGAGCTAGTTAAGTATGTTGGCTCCCTCACCCATGCTCAATCTAGAGAATGACAAAGATATTACTCAAACTAGTATATTCCAGCTCTGGCAACTTTACGTAGTGTGGACTTCAACTCCCAGTGCACATGGGCATTGCTAAGAATTTTAGGAATTGAAGCAAATACATCTTTAAGTTTCAGTGATTGGGAAACATTGTCTGGAAGAGTTCATCACATGCAAGAATGTGAATGTTTTACAAATAATTTAAGTGGGGGTGAAGATTTATATGGGGACAAATGGACAAAATAACTGCACCCGGGCCCTTTTCCCCACCTTAGAGACTCAAACTTAACTTTCTGGGGGAATTGGACCTAGATTTAGAACAGGAGATATGTGCTGATGTTGATGGCATTTAGCAGCAGTCCAATTTGGTAGTCAGTCAGTTCTTCAGGAGTACAAAATGCTAGTGAGCTAGAATAGCCTAGGTGTCTAGATGCAGAGTGTAAGCAGGCCAAGGATGGCCTGGAAATGGGGACTGGGAGAGAAAGTCAAGGTTCACTAGTGGGAGCTATCTGGAGAGACTCAAAAAAGAGGTCACCAGACCCGACCAGTAGAAGTCGGCAGACTATGAGACTGCTAGAGCATCTGCTAGAGAGACTGCTAAAAGCCACAGCAATGGAGGCAGATTGAAGGAAGACCAGCTGACCAGAGAATTGTATCAAGAAAAGGCAACCCATGAAAAAGAGCTTCTGGACCATCAGGAATTGGCGTGAATGAAACCCCATGAAGGGCAACTTGGCAGAGTAGAACACCAGGGGTGCCAAACGCATTAAAGTGCTCCAGGTGGAAGGCACCAAGGCAAGTGGCAGTAGCCTAGGCAGAGGGCTACCCAAATCCCAACTCTTACAGCCAATGCTTTAAGTAGGCTGAAGTAAGGGAAACTTTGGAAGGACTCAAAGTTCTGGGTAGAGGAAAAGAATCAAGCAACACAAGAGCAGTTCTGGCACAAACTGGCCAGTTGCAAAGAGCCAGTAGCAAAGCTGGCAGAGAAGGCAGCTTCAATTCCAGAAGCAGTGACTGTTGGTGGGGAAGTTAGTTGGAGATGTGAAGCCAGAGGCTAGGAGAAAAGAACATAGAATAGGATAAAAATCAGAAAGAACAGAGAACAAAGTTCTAAGATGGAATTGATATGTACTAATGATAGGAACTATATATAGATTCTAGAAAGGAGAAAGAAAAGCCTATAGAAATTTTAGAGCACGTAATCAGAAATCTTAGATTAACTAAGAAAACTCTGTAAAATAAGACATACAACAAGAAAGTGTGATATACAGGTAGTCCTTGATTTATAAGCATTCATGTAGCAACCCATTTGAAGTTACCACAGCACTAAAAAGGGACCTACAACTGGCATATATGACCATTGCAGCATCCCTATGGTGACATGTTCAAAAGATGGGCATTAGAAACTAGCATGTATTTTTGATGGTTGCAGCACCTGATATCATGTGATTGTCACTTATGACCTTCTCAGACGGTATCCAATAAGCAGAGTCAATGGAGGAAGCTGGATTTGGTTAATGACCACATAATTCACTTAACAATTGTGACAAAAAAGGTTATAAAATTGGGCACAACTCACTTAACGGCCACCTTGCTTAGCAATGGAAATTCTGGTCCCAATTGTGGTCGTAAGGTTGAGAACTACCTATAAAATAGAGTTATCAAAAAAAAAATGTATAGGTTTGAGGAAATAAACAGAAAAACAGTGCAAGTACTGTGTAAGATTATAGGCAGAATAAATAGAATTGAGTGATACACAATAATTGATGGGAATAATACAGTATGTAGAACATGGGTGTCAAATTCGCCGTGTCATGTGACGTGTTGCGATGTATTGCAACTTTTTTGCATTGCTGGAGCTGGGGTGGGCGCAGCCTCCACATGATGCAACCGGCCCGCGGGCTGGTAATTTGACATCCCTGATATAGAAGGATAAGTAATAGAATAGCTCATGATATAACAGGAAAACATTAATCTTGTGTTTTCATTTTTATTTTCTTATATTTTACTTATATGCTGTATGTGCATGACCTGTCTGCCTTTATACCATAGCTGAACCAATGACAATATCCCGGGAATTTATACAGGTGAGACTATGATGGCACTATAAAACAGGATATATAAAATCAGAGGAAATTCTGTAGTGAAGTATTTAATGTGAGAAAAAAATACACCCAATTTCATAGTTACAATAAATGATGTGTTATAATAAAAGACATTTACAGTATTTAGAAAGGGAAGAAAATTGATAGCCACTAAAATTGCTTAATCCCCTGAGGACTAAATGAAGACATTTAATATGTCAATTTGATTCCTGGATGTTTTTCCTCTACTCCATTCGTCTATTCTCCTAAGTATTTACCGCAAGAAAACGGTTATTTGTACTTTTCCCCAGGCTTATTATTTTGTTCAGCCATATATATTAAATTCATTTTCCCTTGAAAAATAGAACCCTTTTTCACTAACCAAAAACAATCATTAACTTTAAAACAGCTGTTCCTTTTCAAGGCAAGTTTGCTAAGTAAGATAAAGTATTGCATAATATAAACCTTTTTTTCCCTCTTGCTTTATTCTTCATTAGAAAAAGAGCAGAACTATTGAACTGTTATAGAAATTGTGGCTTTGGGTTGCTTTATATGAGATTAAAAATATACCAAGAAATGAAGCAAAATATGTTTTTGAAATATCAGTTTAATCAGCTTAAGTTTTTCATCCTTAAAAGTGGACTTTTTTTTTCCTTTGTAGAAATACTGGTGTGAATCAGCTTTAGGTTTTTCTACAAGTAGAATACTCATTCTAAAATGGGTCTCTTTTATTTTCTGACAACGTTATTATGTAAAAAATGTTTTCCCAGGGATGAAATTGCATCAACCATTAATATTGTTTGCTTTTCCAAAAATGTGTTTGGAGCTCTACACAATATTATTTCCTACCGGTACTAGCATTTGAGAGAGTCTCTCCCCGTCACCTCCCGCCATTTTCTGTTTGAGTGCTTGTACTCTTTTTCTTCTGTTCAACAAACGTGAATTAGTAGGTTGTATGTTCACACTTTCGCAGGCAAGGCCCGAGATGCTTCCTTGGGAATGAGATAGTCTCGTTACCGAATAGGAGCAGGTTGTGACTGGAAACAGACGAGAAAACGTGGAGATTCCAAGATCTCTTTAATGCAAAGGGTGCGCAAGCCAGTCACAGGAGCCGCAGGCTTCGTGGAAAAGACCAGTCCGCGAGACCCCCGCCCCCTCCTCTCCGTCAAAAGCACCAGCGCGCTGCCGCAAACCAGAATGCCAGCCACCCCAGCCCGCGAGCCCACGCGTGTGGGCGGGTCGCGTCGCGTCGCGCAAGGAAGGGTGCGGTGCCCCTTCGGCCCTGCAGGGGGCGAGGCGAGGCGGCTTTTTGGCGGCGCCTGGATTTGTGCCGGGAGGAAATGATGTGCCTGCCGTTTGGCTTATTCCAGCTCCTGAAGCCCATTGGCAGAACAGGGAGCAGCCACTTCCTTCTCTCTCACTGCAGCTGGATTCCCGGCTGAGTAGCTCCTCCTCCGCCGCCGCCTCCTCCTCCTCCTTCTCCCGCCGGAGTCTGCCTTGTCTCGGCTCGCCCGGCTGCTTTCTGGAACTTTGCGCTCGTCTCGCCCTCCCTTTTGCCAACTTTTCCCCGTCACCCCCAGCACGACGGGAAGTTCTTCTCTAGCCTGCGAAGGACGCCGCCGCCGCGGGGAGCGCAAATCCCGCCGGAGGTGGGAGGCGGCCGCTGGGGAGATGCGGTCGGGGAGCGATTAGAGCGCGGGACTCCGGGTTTGGCCGTCGCCGCCACCGTTGCCAGCGCTGCAGCAACTTGCGGCTTGGAGCGGTGGTCGGCGCCGCCGCCGCCGCTGCGGCAAATCGGTGGAGGAGAAATTCTTGCGGCGGCTGCTGCTGCTGCTACTGCTCCTCCTCCTTTAACTGCGCCTGAAGCTCCCGCGCTTGCCCGTTCGGCTGCTTTTGCCTTTGTCTGTAACAGATCGAGAGGTGAGTGGATCTCCCTGTCTGGGAGAGAAGTCGCCCTCTTGGCCGCCATCTCCCCCCTGCCCCCAAATGTTGGGCAGCTTTCTGTCTCCTCCGGGTCTAAAAGAGGGTTTCCCCCCCCCCTTCCTCTTCAGGACACAGCCTGCCTTTCCAAACGGGGGCGAGCGATTGCTATTTTTGTGGTTTAACCTTGGTCTTAAATTTGTCTCCTCCTCGCCCACCTTTCTTTTCTCGACAGAGAACCCTTTTTTTATAATTCTTTTTTTTTTAAAGCACACAGCGATTAGAAAGGGGGGAATCTGTGTGCGTTACTCAAAAATCAGCTCTCAGACATGGGCGTTTCAGACGTGCCTTTACAGTTCTCCGAGCCAAAGGGGGGGGGGGAAGCTCGTAAGCTAATGCTGCATCTGTATGTCCTGTTTCCAGCGGTGCCTTTGAAAAACTTAGGAGATGAAGAGATGGAAGCGGCTGTGGGGGGCTGTGGGGGGAGAGAGACATCTTTTAATCGCTTCAGGGAGGCCGCCTCTCCTGGAAAGTGGGGTGGTGGTGGTGAAAGGCTGTGTAGAGAGGAAAGAGAATCTGTATAAACTTTCCTTGGCTCCCTCCTCTGGCTGGCTGCAGTGTTCAGGAGCATCAAAGGAAGGAATGCCCACAGGGCAGCTGTGGTTACAGATGTTACTCATTACCCTGCCAAGTATAAACCCGCCCCTCTGTGCTGTAACTCTTGTAGGGGAAGAGGGGTTTGTTTTGGAAAGTCAGCAGTACAAAATGCAAAGATGATGGATAGTTTGATTGGAAGGAAGCCGCCTTACACAACACCTGTCTGGCTTGCTTTGTGATGTTCCTGTGCCTATAAAGTCTCGGGGAAAGGGAGAAAAGTTGGGGCTGGTGTTTGTTTGCTTGGATACTCATTTCTCTATGTCTGGATATGCAGGCGTGATAAAAAAACAAAATTTGGAATGTGACTAGCACACTTGGCTTCCCCTCTTATGAGGCTGACCAATTTTTCAAATGGCAGGGCTTATGAAGGACATTTAATCTGTTCTCTGAATTTCCTTTTTGTTGAGATAGCCTTTTCTTTTTGCCGATGTCTTCAAGCTACAAACACATGTTTTTCAGCTTGTTAAAGAAATAGTTATGCCAGCATGATGTTTGGCAGAATCCTTTTCTAGCATTCCTTCATTTAAACTAAGTTCTGGAACACTTTTGATCTCAAGAGAAATAATTGTGCAAGTCTATTTCAGATACTGTCATGGGGTTCTGAAGGCTTCGTAGTAGTGGGATTCACACATCACATTCACAATGGCTCAGCAGTTATAGATGCTGAGCTTGTCAAATGGAAAGCTGCCAGCCTGGATTCAAGACCTGAGTGCAGCATGTCAGAGTGAGTTCCCATTATTTGCCCCAGCTCTTGCCCACCTAACAGTTTGAAAACATGCAAATGCGAGCAATTTAATTGGTACCACTTTGGTAGGAAGGTAACAGTGTTCTGTGCACCTCAGTGTATAGTCATGCTGGCCACATGACCACGGAAAGGTCTTCCCATACAACGCTGACTCCTTCAACTAAGAAATGGAAATGAGCACTGTCCCTTAGAGTCAGATATGATTGGTCAGGGGAGAACCTTTACCTTTATATATCCATTCATTTTGGTTATAACCATTGCTTATATAACCATTGCTTATGGGCCATGGCCTATTCTGAACTGGCCCGTGCGAGTGGCTGGCCGAGTGCGTGCATGCAGCAACTTGCGCAAGCAGCGGACTGGCAGGCACTTGTGTGCGTTCCTGCTGCTTTTACAAGTTGAGCTGTGTGCGTGCACACTGGCCCACCATTTGCACAAGTGCTGTATGCGCGTGTGCTGGCCAGTTCCCCTCTCCCCCCCCCAAGTCGGGCCGCAAAGGTTGGGGACTGCTGCAGTAAACCATGATTAAGTACTATCTCTGAGCCAATGCATCATTTTTCATAGAAGCTAACAGTTTTGTGTAATGGTTAAGACAGCAGACTCGAAACCGATAAATCCATGAGTTCTAGATCTGCCTTAGGCGCAAAGCCAGCTATCTCTAATAGGAAGGAGGCCATGGCAAACCATTTCTGAAATCTTGCCAAGGGAATTGCAGGGACTTGTCTAGGCAGTCACTAGGAGTCAACACTGATCTGAAGACACAACACCACTCACCACCACCAACACATAAATTACTATGCATTGGCAACTAGCATTTTCAGAAGAACATAAAATTATATATGAGTGTGTGTGTGTACGTGCGTGTATTTTTGGGAGTGTATTAATATTTACATATTATTCCAAATGTTCCAGTCACCTGGGATGAAAAATCTCTCCCCCTTCTAGTAGTCCATGTATTTGCATGGTAAACAGTGACTGGTATGTTGTGGTATGTGTTCTTGGAAGCAACAATTCCTTTTTGTCAAAGGCACTTTATGCTGACTTACAACAACTGTCTTTAAAACTGGCAGGATTTGTACTTCATTATGGCATTTCTGCTCTACCTTTGTTCTTTGATTTTTAGAAGGGCTCACTAATTTTCTTTTTGCAAGTCTGCACATTTTAAAGAGCAGTGTTCATCTCTAATCGTAATGAAGGAGAACTTGACATAGTTCATTTGTACGCTTTTCTCAACTAGTTAGTGTTGAGTAACACTTAACCTGTTTCCCCAGCAAATAAACATGGAAATGAGCATGGATTTTAGCATAACTGAGAGAAGCAATTGGCAGTCCCTCTTCCCTGTACACTATTTGGATTCTGATGCTCTAAATTTGAAACCAGTTTTATGTTCTGCAGATTTAAGAAGTACAGAACTGAATAAGCCCTAGTAAACATTAACCACCTCTGTGCATGTATGATTATAAATAAATCTGGTTCTGAATGGGAAGTTATGTTTTCAAGTTTTTGTTAAGCTTTATATTAGTGGTCTCACACTGACCTGCTTTCTTGAAGTTGTGGAAATGTTGAAAGGCTGGATTGGATAGCCATCAATCTTGGTTTGTGCAAGTTCCAGCTGAGCACGGTGGGAGTGTAGGAATTTAGGCAAGAAATTGGTTTGCTATGAATTAGGACTAGCCTCATATTTGCTTTTCCTTTATTTGGAAAGTGAGTAGATGAAGTCTCTTTGGAAAGAAGTCCAACTCTCCTGTATTGCTGTAGACTCTTAACACATTGAGAAGGCACCATTTTGAGTGAAGTCATTTGAGAGGAACATCCTAAGACATATAGAATTCAAATCTACATATGTAGAATGGTCTAATATCAACACCCATACTCTCCCAAAACAAAGTGTATTCTGACCATTCTAAGGTTATGAATTTCCTTCAGTTCTGAATGTTTCTTTATCTTTTCCATCTCTCTTGTTCTAGTTTAAAAATGAGGGGAACATTTTGTTGACATAAAAACTGAATGTGTGTGTGTGTGTGTGTGTGTGTGTGTGGTAGATGGAGGATATATAAAGTTCTTCTTGGCATTGTTTTGTGTATGGTGGGAGCATCATTAGTAGCTTCTGGACAAAAAGATGGTTAGCGTACCAAGGATATGTCTTATCTTCTACCCTTAGTGGTTTTCAAAAAGATTGTCTAGAGCTGCTGCCTTTACTAAACCTTTTAATCTATAGCAATCAGTTGCTACTGAATCTAATTTGAGCCTTTTACTTTGTAGGTTGATGGGTTTTATTTTATATATTTATTTTTGTACTTATGTGTGAGAACTGATAGCTCAGAAAAGTTCTGAGCTTTTTGACTGATGGTTGAAAATCAGCATGACAAAAAGGAAATATGCATGTAGATATATGTCATTTGTATGCTGCCTGTTTTCATTTGGGCTACACTTACATAAAAGAGCTGAGGACAATCACCTAGTACTAATAAGATCCATTGTGTGAATTAAGGATTCAAATTCCAAAACAGCTAGTTCCAAGCACCAAACAAAACAAAACAACCATTGTTGGAATTGTTGTGTCCTGAGTTCAGATCAAATTGGGATATATTGTTCTATATTGCCTGGAGTGTCCCTATAGCTTGCCTTAGCTTCTGTTCTAAAAATTCCTCTAAGGCTAAGCTATGCAGACTTTTTTGAAAGCACATTAGCCAATAAAATAGCAGAGCTAATTTTTCTTCCTCCTGCTGCTACCATTTAAATCTGGTTGAGTGGAGAAAGATTGGTAATGTGAGGGTGAGTTAATTCTTACGCAGGAGGTTGGTAAATTTTTGAAGTCTTTGGAAGAGGGAAATCTGAGGTCATGGCTTATATATACCGTTCTAGTCTTCGTGTGTTCTCTGTATGTTGTATCTTTTTCAGGTATATTGTTATGCAGAAAGTGTTTTACAGAAAGGATATCTCTGCTGGTGAGCTTTCACACATTTGGGGTATATTGCTGTGTCTGAAGTTGTCTATATTTGCTGAATGCAGAAATTTTACAGTGACTGTGTGCATTAGGAAGAAGGTTATGGTGCCATGGCAGAGTGTTTTTGTTACTTTTAGATTGTGTTGGGGTCTGTCCTGAAGTGATTCTCTTACTTTCTTTTTGCTGGGCTTATTTCTGTGATTATTTGTGCAGACAGGCTGTAAAAAAGTATACCAACTTGTTTACTCTAGGACTGTTTAAATATTTACAGTCCTTAAAAACATCCTTTAGTCAATGTAGTTCTAGTTTGAGCAGTAGATAGCAGTCAGCATGGGCTGCTATTTCACTTACTTTTATGACCTGATGATGAAAAATAAGAGGCTTATTTTATGTTGCCATTGTTCCCTGTGGCAAAGCGCTTTAAATGTTTTAGATTTTGTTCTGTGGGATCACAAAACTCTTCAAAATATTTCCCTGGAACCTTCAAACTCCCTTGTTACAAGTTTGTACTAATACTTTTTTTCTGTTTTATATACCTGTAGTGGGATTCCATATCTTCCTTTGGCCCAGGCATGTGAAACTGCCGGCCCACGGGCCGGATGCATCATGCTGAAACCGTGCCCATCCCATTGCCAGCAATGGGGAAAAATT